GCCATCGTTGTCGGGTGGCTTCTGGGCACTCCCGAAGCATACCGAAACCATCTTCCATGCTCGGCCCTTCAAGTTCAACCCGGGCGAAGCCACGCCGACCATGGTGGAGCCCGAGTTTCTTAGAACCGGCTTGCTGGGAACCGTCATTGAAGGTAAGGTCTTTGTCCTCGGCTTGTACGAGGATCGGATCAGACAAAGGGTTGAATGGGTCGAGCACGGTGGAAACGAGGCTGTTGAGAATCGCTACTACTTTGTGCAGCACCTCGTGGTGAGCATCATCAAGAACGTGCCCAAAATCTTTGATTGTTCTGCCTTTGACGTCTTTGTCAATGAGGAACACCTGCCGGTCGTGGTCCTCGAGTCGGCAGCGGCATCCACTGCGCCGGCCACCAATGGAGGACCGCCTCGGCAGCTGGACACAGCACTGCTTGATGCACTCGCTGAAAGATGCATGGACGTTCTGATGCAGGAACACAACCTCCGGTTGTACTGTGTGATGATCACAGCCCCCAACTCTCTGCCAAGAGTGCTCAAGAACGGACGCCGTGAAATCGGCAACATGCTTTGTCGGAGAGAGTTTGACCTGGGAAACCTGCCCTGCGTTCATGTCAAGTTTGCAGTGGAGCATGCCGTGCTCAACCTGCCCGTGGGAGTTGACCCGGTTGGTGGCATCTGGTCCGCCATGGCGTCTGACACTCGGTCCCGGCTTCTCGCGTCAGCGGAAAAGCAGTACTCGGGCATCGATCATCGAGAGGTGGTGATGGATGACAGGACCTCTACTCCGCTCAACAACTTTACCAGCATCACTGATTTGATTCAGTGGCGAGTTGCTAGACAGGGTGAGGAGCTCGCCATCTGCACCATTGATGGGCGAGGCAAAGAAGGCAAGGGCATTACCTGGAAGAAGTTTGATGTCAAGGTTGCTGCGGTGGCTGTCTACCTCCGCAACAAGGTCAAGCTCAAGTCTGGCGACCACGTTGTGCTCATGTACACACACTCGGAAGAGTTTGTCTTTGCTGTGCACGCCTGCATCAACCTCGGCGTGATTGTCATCCCCATCGCACCGATGGACCAGAATCGCCTCTCGGAAGATGTGCCTGCGTTTCTGCATCTGCTGGCAGACTACTCGGTTAGAGCTGTGTTGGTGAATCAAGAGGTCGACCACCTTCTCAAAACCAAGACAGTTGCTCAGCACATCAAGCAGTCGGCCCAGATTCTCAAGATTATGGTGCCCAACATCTTCAACACAACCAAGCCGCCCAAGCAGAACAGCGGCCTGAGAGACCTGGGCATCACGATGGATCCGGCGTGGGTTCAGCCTGGTTATCCGGTGGTTATATGGACGTACTGGACGCCTGACCAGCGCCGTATTGCGGTTCAGCTGGGCCACGATACCATCCTGGGCATGTGTAAAGTGCAGAAGGAAACCTGCCAGATGACTAGCTCCCGGCCAGTTCTTGGCTGTGTCAGGAGTACCACCGGGCTCGGGTTCCTCCACACGTGTCTCATGGGCATTTACATCGGCACGCCCACGTACCTGCTTTCCCCGGTCGAGTTTGCCCAGAATCCTGCTTCTTTGTTCTTGATTTTGTCAAGGTACAAGATCAAGGATACTTACGCCACTCCTCAGATGCTTGACTACGCCATGAGAACCGTGCCGGGTAAGGGGTTCACGTTGCATGAGCTCAAAAACATGATGATATCGGCCGAGGCCAGGCCCCGCGTCGATGTATTCCAGAAGGTACGGATGCATTTTGCCACGGCCGGCCTTGACCGTACTGCCATCAACACGGTGTATTCTCATGTTCTCAACCCGATGATCGCCTCGCGGTCGTACATGTGCATTGAGCCCATCGAGCTCTGGCTGGACCGCAAGGCTCTGCGTCAGGGTCTCATTCAAGTCACAGACCCCGAGCGGGATCCCAAGGCTTTGCTTGTTCAAGACTCGGGAATGGTGCCGGTCTCGACACAGATTGCCATTGTCAACCCCGAGACATGTATGCTGTGCAGTGAGGGAGAGTTTGGTGAGATCTGGGTCGATTCGGAAGCCTGCGCCAAGGCGTTCTATAGGTCCAAGGACGCGTTCGACGTGCAGCGGTTTGACGGGCGGACGGTGGAGGACCCGAGTATCCAGTATGTTCGCACTGGAGACCTGGGTTTCTTGCACAGTGTAAGGAGGCCTATTGGGCCAGGCGGCGCGCTGGTGGACATGCAGGTTGTCTTTGTCCTCGGCAACATTGGGGAGACGATTGAGATCAATGGGTTGAGCCATTTCCCAATGGACATTGAGTTCTCGGTTGAACGATGCCATCACAGCATTGTACCGGGTGGATGGTAAAGTTCTCTGTCCACATTTTCTAACCCTTGGCCATGTTTTGCTGACACATCCTTTTCCAGTACTGTTTTCCAAGCCGGTGGTCTTGTTGTGGTTGTTGCCGAGGTGGCCCGCAAGGCATACCTTGCTTCCATTGTTCCTGTCATTGTGAATGCGGTCCTCAACGAACATCAGATCGTGACTGATATCGTTGCGTTTGTCAACAAGGGAGATTTCCCCCGAAGTCGTTTGGGAGAGAAGCAGCGTGGAAGGATCCTGGCTGGGTGGGTCAGCAGGAAGATGCGGACCATGGCCCAGTTCGCTATCAAGGACATGGACAGAGAGTCACTCGGACCATCAAGCGACCACCCAGACTCCCCAACGATAGATGCTCACCGTGCGAGCGTGGGAAGTTTCCGCTCGTCGAGCGGGGCGATCCAACCGGGGAGCAGCTCGTTGAGGAACGTGGAACCGGCGCCGCAGATTCTGGAGCAGCGTGAGTTGGAACTGCAGCAGCAGTATCAACAGGTGCAGTTGTCGAACCCGTTCCCGGTGGAGATGCCGGCGGATGAGAGGGTGCCTGAGATCATGGACAGAGACCGTGATCAGACGCCGACAAAGACCAGGCAGCCGAGACCACCGTTTCAGGATCACGGGTTTGAGCTGCCTGACTTTGATCAGTTTGGGTCTGAGGGGCCTTCGAGAGATCGGACGCCGGCGCCTGCTGGATCCGAACACTATCAGGGAACTGTGAGTATGCTTTCCCAGACTGGGCCGCCACAGCTGAGGTTGCCTGGTGTTGATGGGAGGGAGTCGTTGGACGATTGGAATTTGAGGCCTGGTAGTGGCGGGTTGCAGGGGAATGGTAATGGGCAGCAGGACAATGATGGAGATTGGACTAGGGATATGTCGGGAACGTTGCGGTCACCTGCTGGGAGGTGAGGCAGGTAGGAGAGTGATGATGACGACAACTGCGTAGTGAGGGTTTTGTTTAGGGGTTATAGATAGGGTGTATTATCTGTTGGGATTGGAAATGTAGCAGGAAATAAGGTGGGAGGTGTGCTGCCATGGTTATGGAGAATAGTTACTGTATGTACACGGGACGGGGTAAGCGATTGGCAGCAGCAATACTCGAATACGTTGATAGAACAGAAGTCTTTTTTTCTTTTTTTCTTTTTTTGGAGGCACAGAAGAGGAACAATGCGTTTCTAGAAGGAGGACTGGATCCTGATCTGATGTCAGAAATTCAGTCTCGCAGAGGCTCGGAACTGCACATCAGCGTCGTCATCAAAGCCAATAACGAGCAAGTTCAACAACAGCGCCGCACAGCATAGCATTTCGACAACCGTTGAGTTTTGGCATTTGCATTTTGATTCCCGATCCGGTGTCAGACTTGGATGAAGCAAACCGCATGAGGTTCAATGTGGTATGCTCGAGATAGGGCTGAGGTGCAGTGGAGAGTGGGGATATGCCAGGAACCAGGGGCTCGCTTTACAATGTCGTCCGAGCAATTGTATGTAGCCCTAAGAGTGGATTTCTAATCCCACTTTCATGTCATGTTGCGCCAGACACATCATTGGATGATGACTTTGCGACAGGAAGATGAGACGGTTAACGATGCGGCCGCTGCTCATTTCGATAACCGTCCTGGATTTTCCCAGGTTTATGGTGGAGGTGTTGTTTGATAATCCAACATAGTTGTAGGAAAACCTCCAACCAACAACCAACGTCCAAAGCGTTTATGCGCAGCCTCGACTCACCGCGGCTCTCACCTTGGAGTTCGTTCTTGGACCTGCAGGTCCTTCGTTTCGCGCTCCTCTCGGTATCCCGCAGTTGGGTGGATGCTCCATCTGTACGACAGCGGCACAGTCAGTCGTATTTTGCACAGGCCGTTCGTGGCCCCTCTTACCCGCCCCTCGATGCCTCCGCTGCCGAGGAACATGGGGGCCGTCATCCTCTCCTGGGACTTTGACGATTACGGACAAAAAGCACGTCGTCTTGGTTCAGTCAGTCAGTCAGTCAGGACTTATTCCCCTAGGAGACCCCTCTTCTTCTTTTCCCCCAGCCCCGTCTATTGCATCCTATTATCTCAACACGCGCCCGCCGCCCAGACCTTTGTAAGCGCCAACTGCTTCTCAGACTCTCGTGGAGTGTGGTGCCTGCTTGGATGATCTCTTCGTCTCCGTTCGTGCCCCCGACTGCGCCGCCTATCTTTTCTTTCCCTCTCCCAAGACCTACGTTGCCCTTCGGAAGTTGCCCTCTGGAAGTGGGCATTCCTGATTTTGACCTGTATAGGTTACTTGGATTTGTCGTTCGGCCTATCCGGGCGTTTTGTTCTTTCCTTTTTGTGTTTCCTTTCTGTCTGACACCCCCCGCTCTCAGTCAACTTATTCCTCACGCACATTAAATTTGAAGACCCCCAACTTTCACACTTGGGGAACACAACACCCCCGCTCAAACATCTTGGATACCAAACCAACAAGCGGCCATACGGAGAGGACTTTGTGGTATACACGACTCCCCTGATTGTCACACCTAGTAATGCTTGTTCTTGACGACGACAACACAAGTCCCCCGTAACCGCCGCGATCTCGGCAACCCGGCCGGCCGACTCTTTTCCCCGCGAACCATGGAGCTGTGTCTGCACCCCGCATTCACAAGCGTCTCGGGCGGCTCCTAAAACCAAATGGACTTTCTTCCGCATCCCGTCGCCGGGGTCGAGCCGCTGGACATCCCCTTTGTCGCCGACACCCCCTTTGTGTTTGGCACCGACTTTTGGGACTTCCCAAAGCTCCACGGCTTCGGCGACCAGTGGGCCAGCCTCCCGGCCCCGAGGCTGGCGTCGCTGGCGCAGTCATGGCTGTACTTTGGCACCATCGCCGAGTTTCTGGGCCGGCCGATTGATTACAGGGAGTACAAAGTGTCGAGAAGCGTATCTGCCCGGCCGTTGATACCTTTGCTGAACGAGTGGCTCACCTCGCACGCCATACCCCCAAGGGACACGACCAAACAACCACCACCACCATCATCACTAGGGGAAGAAGGAACACATGACCCGCCCATCTCCCGCGAGGCAAGGAAACGCCTCATCTACGAGCACGCCAGGTTTTTGGACGCGGTGGTTGATCTGGCGGAGGACTTTGACCGCGTCTCGCAGAGCCATGTCAAGCCCATTCCGACTATTGTTCTATCTATCAAAGTCCTTTGTACCACGCTCCGGAGTGTACTGTGGGATTTGGTCCAGGTCGACGCGGACGACATGCCCTTGCCCTGGCCGAAGCACGAAAAAGTTGCCACGCTGGATAGTAAAGGCGACCCTGACATTTCACCGAGCGCGCAGCTCATGTTGGATGTGTTACGGCTGAGGGGGTGGTGCCCGTTCTATGCACGAAAGGTGCTCACGAGTTACAATTATGCGATTGCGTATTACTTCACGAGGTTGTTTCGGCTGTTTTCTACAGAGACGAGCCATGAGGGGTGCGATTTTGAGGAGTGCGTGGCTAGTAATGCGGACGTCTTCAGCTACGTGCCCAGGCATATACGGTATGGGTGTCAGTATCAGCCGATGGGGGTGGGGATGGATCAGATAAGGGGGATTATTGAGGATGGGGGGGTGCCGCTTGTTAGGCTGAGGGGGTCGCTGCAGCGGGGGATACGACTGGAGGTGGTGAGGATGACGGCCAGGACGAGGTTTGTGATTATCAGTCATGTCTGGGCGGATGGGATCGGGAACGCGAATGCGAATGCTATGCCCGAGTGTCAGTTGAGGAGGGTGTTTGGGTATTTGAGCAGGCTGAAAGCGCTGAGGGAGGGGGAGGATGCGGGGGCCGAGTTTAACCTGTTGGGTTCGGTTGATACGGGGTTTCAGACGGCGGCGAGGAGGAGGCCGAGGTACTTTTGGATTGATGCGTTGTGTATGCCGCCGGTGAGCATGGGGTTGCTGAGGATGAGGGCGATCAACAAGTTGCCGGCGGTGTACCAGGCGGCGGATAGGGTGTTGGTGTTGGACCCCAACTTGGAGAAGATATCGATTGAGAACTCGGATACGCTGGAGCAGTGCGCGAGGTTTTCGGTGAGCCCGTGGATTGGGAGGAGTTGGACGTTTCAGGAGGCGGCGCTGGGGAATGCGGTTGAGGTTCAGTGTGCTGATGGGACGTTTAATGCTCTTTCGCCGAAGCTCAAGCAACCGAGGGCTGTTCCTCCACCCCAGGGGCCACAGCAGTCGAGGCTTTCTGAGCTTGTGGGGATACCGGTAAGCTGGGTCAAGAGGAGAATACCCGGCAAGACCAACCATGAGCCATTACAACTGATGAACAGTGGTTCAACAGCAGGCATGGGAAGGGATATCAGCTTGGCCATGGTGGCTAGTTTGACCCGGTGCCTGAACCACGAGTTCCGGTCATCATTTGCGAACGGTGTCAAGCCGGTCAAGGCCGCGCATGGGAGAGAGACGCTGGCTCCTGACTTTTGCACATTGTTTGTACAGGTGTGGAACGAACTGAGCGAGAGGGCAACTACGGTTCCAGGCGACAAGCATCTTATAATCGCGAACCTGCTTGGCTTCAACACGGAGCCACTCATGAGGCTGAACAAGTCAGCCGACCGGATGGCATGTATATTGAGGAGCATGGATGGCGTGCCCATGTCGTTATTCTTCAACATGAACGGACCAAGGCAGAGGCCATCAAAGAACCACAGAGATCGTTGGTTGCCATTATACCCAGCAAAACAGAAACTCACCTTTGGGTCAACATTTACCAATCTGCGCAACGTCAAAAACGACTTATACCTCCCTAATAACACTGTCAGTCGAACCAAGGTGGCAGTACTGGTATGCACTGGCCCACCCGACCCCTTTTCGAGCTGCGCCTTCACCGTCCACGACACCACAACAGGCGATCAATATTCCGTCGAAATTCACCGAGAAGAAGGCGAAACAGACGCCTTTGCAGCCCCTGATATTGGCCCCTATTGCATAGCTATCCAGCTCGACAACCCCCTCATCACAAAACAAAACAACGACATGCCCGGCCTTGCCGCCAGCCCAGCACAACCCTACCCCGGCGCTTTGTTTCGAGTCCGTCGTGTGGTCACCAACGTCAAAAAGCTCTACTACCACGCCCTCGAAGCTACGTACGAAAAGTCGTTTGAGCTCGTAGAAGAAGACACGTACGACCACTCCAAACCCCCCGATCTCTCGTCGGACGACAACATATCCACCGCTTTCCAGCGTCACCCCCGCGGCCTCCTGAGGACAGTCTACGACTGCCCTCTAACCGTCACCCGCCTCCCCCCTCCTTCGACCCCCATCAGCCCGTCCTTCCGCCGAGAGGAAAAACAAGCACCCCCTCCCACCCTTGCCTCAGTCCCCCTCCCGGAAACATGGCAGCTGATCATCGAACGGGAACCACCCACCTACCCCCACCCCCTCCCCACCCGGCCCTCCCTCTCCGACGCCCTCACCCCGGTGACGGCGCATTTGTCAGTCACAGCCCTCGACGGCCTCGTCGCCTCGGGGTGTGTAGGTTTTGGCATCGCAATCTGCGCAACAATGTTTTCTTTTCTTGCGCCCCTGGCCAAGATGGCGATTATCGCTAAGCTGATCCTTCACTCGCTGTTTCTGATACAAATGTTTGTGTTTGCCGGGGTGGAGGTGAGGCTGGTGTGGAATGTGCTGCATATCACTCTGGTGGTGCTGTACACCTTCTCCCGGGCTGCGCAAGGGGGGGCGCAAGTGCTAGACTGGGCGTTTATTGCCTGGGCGTTTGTGGGGCACGCGGTGGATTTTGGGGCTAGGGTTGTGATCCATAGTGTTGTTGTGCCCGAGCTGTTTGAGCAATACCTGGCTTCGTTTGATGAGGGGTATGACGATGGGAGTGGGAGGAGGAAATATAGGGAAAGGGGGGTGGGGAGGTGGTGGAGGAGGGTGAAGGGGAGGTATGGGAGGAAGAAGCCAAAGGTTTGGATGCCTCGGGATGCCACCGTTGCTGCTGAGGAGGAGGTTACCGGCGGAGGAGGAGGAGGAGAAGAAGTGAGGAGTTCAGATCAGTACGACTTGCTCTCTGGGGGGACGCATCAGAGGGATGGGGATAGGAACGATAATCATCATACTACTACTACTGTGGAGGAGGATGTGGATCTGGACTTTTTTGAGCATGAGCATAGGCATCATGTCGTCTCGGGGGCGTTTTCCATGGCGGATGGGTATGGGGATTATGCGAGGCCGCCGGAGGTGCACATGCTGGGGGTTATGGATGGGAGTAAGAGGCATCAGGGGAGGGGGTATAGCACGCTTCCTATTTAGGTTTCGCATCTTCTAGGGAACAGGGTAGGATGGGATTTTTGCATATGGGATTGGATAGGTAGTAAGCATGGTTCTGGTTCGATAGTACATATTTGGTTGTCTCAAAAACAGACACCAGCCATTTCGTAATGTGATGATATGGTCCAAAGTGAAAGCCAGGAAGGGGTTATTAAAGATTGTATTCCGTCACCTCATAGATACACCATGTAGTAGGTCAGGCACAAGAAGATAACTATACATCACATGCAAGAATGTCTCTCTCCGCTCCTCATATGCACCGAATGCTGCCATCCATGCCAAAAATGAGTTGGGTTGGTTTCACTCTTTCTTTTTCAACTCGTTCCATCAGAAAAACATCCTCACACATACATCATCATCCCATCATCATGTCCACATAACATCTCACTCGTCGTTCCACAACTAAACAGGTGATTTACTCCCTCAAAGATGTTCCATATCCTGCATCCCCTGTCTTCCTCCAATTATCCTCCATAAAAACTCGCAAGGTGGTATCTCAATCGACAAAAATATGCTCGCCGTACTTTTGGGGTATGATATGCGTGCGTCTGGTCGCCGAAACAATAATCAAATGCAAACGAATGAACAGTAATATGTACTGGTGAAATGTGGCTGAAGTTGTAGGTGCGGATGCAACGGTGTTGGCGAGAGAGACAATGTCGAAACACGAGGCTTCCTCTACTGATGGAAACCGAGCGAGTCCAGCACTGTCCTCGACTCAAGGCTGCTGAAACCAGCCACGCCAAGCGCTCTGACTTGGCCACTGCCCCTGAGGGCCGCGATGCCATCGGCAATCTTCCATCCCTCCTCCTCATCCACCACAAAAAGGTATCTCTTGCCACCAGCATCCCTCTGCGTGGCCCGGACAAGATGCAGGCCCCTAGCCGGAGGTCCACCAGCCGAGGCCTGGCCACGGCGACACGTACCCTTGCAGCATCGCGAGAACTCACTTAGATACTCCAGCGCCTCTTCGCCAATCATGACCTTGGTCGCACCACGCTCAGCAGCGCGGGGACGGGTAGGCATGGTCTTGAAGAAGGGGTGATTGGTAGGGATCGAACCTGGGGCACTAGAAGCGGAGGCATTCTGCGCGTGGGTGGGACACCAGATCTCGATCTGCTTAAGAGTCCAGGCCTTGACGTCCCACTCCCTTTGTGCCACGCCTCGTACGTCGTCGTCGACGAACAGTCCCGCGCTCGTGATTCGCAGAATGAGACCGTCCGTGACAGGCTTGATGCCCGAGATAAGCTGCTGCGCCGGCGTCTTGGAAAACTCGTTGAGGTAGGCGTACACCGCTCGAATGACGATCTTGTTCGGGTCGTTGGTTGTGTATGGCTCTCTCATCGGCGGCGGGGGCGTGGTTCTCGCGGTCGAGGCCGAGTGGGCATAGGAAGACTCGGAGAAATCAGTTTCTGACTTCTTCCGCGACTTCTTCGGCGTGTCGTACGGTCGGAACGAGTATTCATCTGCTGTACCTGTTGACGATGCTGCTGGCTTGGGGGTAGGCTGCTTCTGTGGCGGGGGCTGGTACTGGGATTGGGCAGCTGGTGGTGGTGTTGGGGCAGCTGGTGCTGGCCGAGGAATGGATGTATGCTTGGGTGGAACTGGCGATGGTGCAGGCTTTGTTGGAGATGGAGGAGGCGGTGAAGCAGCTCTTGGAGGAGTTGGGGCTGACCAAGCAGATTCTGAGGGAGCAACGCTGGGTGGTTTACCATTGGGCCACATGCTCGTCTTCTCACCGACAGACGAGTAGGCGTATGACGTCCCTCTCCGTTCGTTCTGCTCCCTCTCTTCCTTTTCCTTGCGGGCTTGCTCCTCCCTCTTGAGGCGCTCCTCTCTTTCCTTTCGCAGTCGAGTCAGACGCTCTTCACGTTCTTTCCTCTCTTGAGCTTCCTTGGCCTCTCTTTCTCGGGCGGCCTGGCGCTCCTGCTCAAGTTTGAGTCGCAGCTCCTCCTTCTCCCTCGCGATCTCCCTTTCCCTGGCTTCACGTTCGGCTTTCTCCCTAGCCTCACGCTCTCTCGCCAACCTCTCGCGGGTTTCACGTTCTTTGCGCTCACGGGCCTCGCGTTCTCTCAGCTCCCTTTGAAGCTTTTCGCGCATTTCCTTTTCGAGCTTCTCACGAATCTCACGATTCTCCTTCTCCAGCTTCTCCCTCAACTCTCTTTCGATCCTTTCCTTTTCCTTCTCCTCTTGCTCCTTCTTGAGGCGGTCTCTTTCCTCTCTCTCCCTCTTGTCGGCCTCCCGCTTCTCGCGCTCCTTGGCCTCGCGCTCGCGAAGCTCTCTCAACCGCCGGGCCATCTCCTCTTTCCGCTTTTGCTCGGCCTCTTTGGCCTTCTGCTCCTCTATGCGCTTCCGTGTCTCTTCTCTTGCTTTCTCCCAAGCGCTAGTGCCCTTGGTCGGGCTCGGCTGGGAAACCGGAGTCTTGGGTCGCTCCTCAGCAGGAGGAGGAGTTGGCGGTGGTGGAGGTGGCTGGACCTTCGGCTTCGGTACCTCTTTGGGCTTTGGAATCTCCTTCGGCTTGGGGGTTTCCTTTGGCTTAGGTGGTTCAGCTGGTATTGGGACCTCCTTTGGTTTGGGTGCTTCGGCCGGTTTCGGGGCCTCCTTGGGCCTCGGCATCTCCTTCGGTTTAGGAGGCTCTGCAGGCTTGGGAACCTCAGCAGACTTGGCGGCCTCTTCGGCTTTGGCAGCCTCCTCGGCTCTGCGCTCCTTCTTCGATCTCTTCTTAGGTTTCGGCTCCTTAGGTTCTGCCTTTGGCTCCGGTGTGGGTTCCGGGGTTGGCGTCCGCCTTGGCTCTGGCTTCGGTTCCGGTCTTGCCTTGGGTTCCGGCTTTGGCTCCGGCTTCGGTTCTGGTGCGGGAGGATTAGCCTTTGGCTGTGGCTGCGGTGGTGGGCGTGGCTCCTCCTCCCATGACGACCTGTATGAGCCGCCACGAGGCTCATGCTCGTCCTCCGCAGTAGGCGGCGGAGGTGGAGGTGGCGGGGCTTGGTTGGGTGTGGGACCGGGGTTCGGGGGAGGGGTGTACCATTCTGATTTGGCTCCTCCATATCCAGCACCGGGATTCTGGCCACTTCCATTCGCTCGACTCTCATAGAATTTCGCGGAAGAGCTCTCCCCTTGCATTCGTCCGAAGAAGAACAGCATGGCTGCCATTGCCGCCCATAGCAGGTTTCCCATCGCGCCCAAGTTCCTCAAGCTCCATAAGACCTGGGCAATCATCGGTGCGAAGTTGATGAATACCAGCAGCACGATCACTGAACAGGCGATGCCAGCGAAGAAGCTGTTCCACTGGGGCCTCAGGGAGGGCAGGTACAGGAAACCAGCGCCGGCCGAGTGTTCTGGAATAATAAAAACATCGTATTTCCCTCGTGGAAGTCCAGAACCGGGGGAAGGTGCCGAACCAGCCGTTGTTCTGGGATTGTTCCCATGAGGAGGGGGAGGGGGCGGTGGCTGGCTCATGGTGAGAGAACGGCCAGCCGGCCCAGATACAGATTATGTCGTTGCGGTAATGGCTCGCGGTGGTGATAATGGTTGAGTTCAGAGCATGCTAACCGGGAAGCAGATAATTCGCAATTCGTAGTCCAGTCGTATATCTACACAGCCATCTGGCGTCGCACGCGAGGGTTGTCGAAGCAGCTGAGATCGAAGAAAACCAGCAGTCGGCTTGCCAGAGCGTGATCAGTGGGCGATGTCGGTAGAAAATCCGAGGAAGAAAAATTCAAGACGCCTCAACGCCAATGCCAAAAAGCAAAAGTCGCAAGTTTGATGGGTCGCACGGCCAAGCCAAGCGCAAGCTGAGAGATCGCGATCTGATAGCGGGGTGTTGAATTCGGGGTTAGTCGAAGCGTGGAATGCGCGCGAAAGATGGGATTCTAGAAAGAGTTCGGCGATGGGCCGAGACGGCGATGTCGACAGGAATGCGGACTTGCAGAATCGGCTTTTGCGAGAGGTGTGTGTGGGAGGGTGGTGCGGGAGTGTGGGTGAAGGTGGCCTCAACAAACCTGGAAAGATTTCTCGGCTGGGGAGACGCTGTGTTTACTTTCGGCAGCCCCCAGGCCCTGGAAGCACAGAGGGCAGCGGCAGCAGCGGTAGCTCCAAACGCCCCCACAAGCTGCCCGCAATTTTTTGGAAAGGTGTGCGGTGCACAGACCACTTGGCAGGTGAATTGAGGGAGACATCCAGCGACATCCAGCCGTACCGCATATGCTTTGTATCGGAGAGTCAAGCCGAGCCGCTCCAGATTTGATATATCAATCTTTCTCCTCTCGATAAACTTATATTGAATACTCTCTTTCACAGGTCTACAGTTGGCTTTGGGGCATCGCACAGCTTCTCTCTCACGTCAACAGCTTCCCTCCCTGCCACAAGTCGAACGCCTGGTCAGTGACAGGAAACGGCCAGGGGAGTGCCATGTTTCTCGCTTCCAGTCCTCTGCCATCCAGGTTGCGTGGACCCCAGAATCGATAACGTTCTTCAACGGTCCAGCATCTTTTGGGAACCAGCCACCCGTCAGTCATGGTCACCTTGTGATAACTATGAAGGCGCAACGAGCGTCGCAATATCGACCTTTGGTAGACGGTCAGACTGCAATCCTGCTCCTATCAAACGCGCCGCCTATCTGTCACCCATCAGCAAACAGAAATCATCCGTCGGATGAATCCCTGCGATCCCCAGAAGAAGCAAAGCAGGAAAAGACCGCAAAACCAATGATTCAAGGTGTCCACTTGTGCATCTTGGAGGGGGGGCTGGTGAAGCAGTGGATAGGACGCGATGTGCACCCAATGCACCACCCAATTGAGCCAGATTGTGCAATCTTGTCGTTGTGACAGGCCAGAAAGGGGTCCACACTGAGCAGCGAATCGCGGCACCACCCCGGAGAGCCGCCCAGCCTCCTGCTCCTCCTCCGTCCGAACTTCGACGTCCCGTCTGCCTTCCCGAGTAGCTGTCAGACGCAGTCTCCCAGAACTCCGTCTGTGCCTTGGACATGCGCCCTGACAGAAACCTGCAGGACTGGCACTTCAGAACAGATCTTCAGATTTGAAACTTGTACAGAAACGTTTCTCAGAAGATCGCCTCAAGAAGTTGTGAATCAACTAATAACCAGCCCAGAAAGTGATACTCGTTGCGACGCGTTGCCCAGCAACGCGTCTTCCATTGGACCAAACCTGCCATGCGGTGGGGGTGACGTAGCCAATCCGCCAGCACATCACACACACTCTTCACTGTGCCCCTCCTCTGGAAGAACAATTGTTCTGGACTCTCCTCGCTGAATTCATCGGCCTTTGTGTCATCATTTGCAAAAAAATTCCCCTCGTGGTTGCATTGATTTGTTGGTGTATCCGTAAGCTTTTGAGATTGACCGTCCCAATGCAATGCTGTGTCCTGGACAACCTCCTATAATTCTCCCAGCCTTGCTCTTAAGATCATCCAAAATGATTCGTTTATGCAACGCCGACTCCGAGAGAGAAGACGGTACACGCAACCGTGTTGCCGTGCCGCATTGGCATCCCATCTTTGGTGTGTGCCTGACACCTCTGGGCACCGGTACCAATGGGAGGGAAAAAGGAGGCTGGAATCCTTCAACTTTCTCCGTTGTTCCCTTCCCGAGAAAAGAGGCTGACGGCTGACGTCTGACGGGCTGCATTGTGACCTCACCACCCAACCCACCTGGTGTCTTGGGTAACCATCAACGGTTTTTTTTTCGTTCGGCTCACCGAGGGTGGTGTAACAGAGAGAGGCTTTGTGAAAGGCTTTGGGAAACGAAGATGATGTCCCCGAGTGTCCTCAAGAGCCAAGCCTGAGACACACCTCAACAAGGCTCTCGAATAAGAGAATAATAGAACTCCGTTGCCTGTTGCTATGCTCAAGCAAATATCTAGAACTAGAAAGCAGATATATTATAAGTTTAGAACAAAAAACAAACCTACTCCTCCATGTCCATAAACCAACCCATCGCAAAAAGCTCCATCATATCTACATACCGATCCATCATCCATCCCCACATGCCATGTCCTGTTCCTGCATGAAAAAGCCAGAGCTAGCCAAAAAAAAACCCTTCTCCACCAGAAAAGATAAACCCATGATCATATACTCCATACCTAACCCTAGCTCCCTCATGTACTGTATTCCTTCGCAATTCATTCTGTCATCCATTATGATGATTCGTATTGCCACCACCCGGCTGCACCAAAAGCAGCAGCACCAGCTCCACCGTCCAGACCAAAGCAGCCGATATCTTCCCCATCAGCCACCCAAGCACGGCATACCCCTGAACGCCGGCCAAAACCCCCCTAACAATTAATAAAAGCACGGCGTCAATTATGCCACCTCCCGGTTGTTGTTGCTGTTGCTGTCGTACCGCATTTGTGCTGTTGTCCTCTTGTTCAATCTCTGGCATATTGCGAGCAGCTCCCTCGGATAGCGGGGGAGCAGTAGTGGTGATGGTGTCCATGCTAGCCTTGTCACTAGCACTATTACGATAAGAAGAAGAGGAAATAGAGATGGAAGAAGAAGAAAAAGCAGCACAAGAAGCGGCGGTGTCATTCATTGTTGTTGTTGTTGTTGTTGTTGTTGTAGCATCTCCAGCAGTTTGACCAGAAGGCGGCTCCTCCCGTCACAGTCTCTTGACCCTATCCTTTGCCACGCCCAGCTTCCTGCCCACAACGTCCACGTCGTCATTCAGACGGTCCAGCATGTCAATATGGCGGTTAACCTCGTCGTTGATCGCCAGCCCCATCTCCTTTTGCCGTCTGATAATTTTTGCCAGCGCCTCCACCTCCTGGTCTTGTTCCTGCATAGTGTCCCTCTGTAGCTGAAGTACTCCCTCATTATCCAGCTCCCTCGTCCTCTCCGTCTCCGGCAGCGGCGCACCCAACACCCGCCGTCCAGTCGACGTCCTCACAATCCCAATACTGCTCGGCCCCCCATCATTATTTCCCATAAGCGCAGCCCTCTCACTCGCACTCGCAACCCCCTGATGCCTCCCCACCGCCACCCCAGCCGCAACCCCCCCACCAGCAACAGCAAAGCTACTACTCAGCTTATCCAGCCCATCCCTCTCCACCCTCGCCGCCGCCAACAAAATCCCGTCTCCGTCTCAACTCCCCCTCCCCCAGCTTCCCCCCATCCTCCTTCATAACCCTCAACCCATCACTCAAACTCCCAATCAGATTCCCCGCCTTAATCAACGCCCGCTTCGCCGCACTCCCCGCCTCAACCCTAGCACTATTCTCCGTCGCCCCATCCCTCCGTCCCAAAGCAACCCTCGCCTCGTGAAGAGAAGTCTTCAATTCCCGATGTAAATCCAGCCACGTCCCCGGGTCGCTAGCAGCAGCCAAATTCGCCTCCCTCAACCCAATAGCAGGGATGCGTCCCTCGAGACTAATCCCACTCTGCGTGCTGCTTCCCGCAGGAAGTCCCAGAAAGGCCCTCCAGACGGGAGTATCCCTCCACCGTCTATCTGGCGGTTCGGCAATGGCACGAAGATACTTCTCCAACCCCGCTCGCCTCTCTTCTGTGCGTTCAGGGGAGTTCGCCGTCGAGGTGCGCCACCAAGACTTTTCGGGGAGTGGCTCGGGGGGGTAAGCGCCGACGAGGGAGTGGAGGTTCTTGTGGAGGGCTTCGAATTCCGAGTAGCGCTTTTGGACGATGAGGGAGCGCAAGGGGAGGCGGAGGGTGATGTTGTAGAGGGTGAAGGGTTTGCCGTTTGGGGGGGTGGAGATGGACGTGGTGGGGATGGAGATTTCGATGGGGGGTGCCATCTTGTAGTTGCGCGGCGGGGGTGGTGTTGGCTGATGGTGATAGTAACGGTTGTTGAATACCGCGTGTCGAGGAAATTCCCCAGCTGTTGTCAAGTTTAACACCCTGGGGAAATGCACACACACGCGACCGAGCGTGGTTAGTTGCGGTCGGTCGAGTCGGTCAGGGTGTTTCGGATGATGGTGATGAGTTCGGGACCCTCAGCTGGGCATCAACGGATGGGGCGCTTGCTTTGAGATGGCACTGCGCCGCTTGGAGCCGTGAAATGTGGAATGGACGAAAGATAGAAAAGACAGCAAACAATTTGAAGAAGAGGGTATCTTGAATGGCGCAGCAAAATAGAAAAGGTTGTTGATTGTAAGTGGGAACCTTTGATTCCGAGCTTCGCTCGGTGCCTGCCACTTGACGCCCACGAGGCCCAGTGGTGTCATTGTTGCCGGATTGGGTTGCGGGTGGCTGGTTTAGTGTCCTACACTGATAACCCTGACCCTGACACTAAACACCACACCAAGTCAACTGGCATAATGAGACACCAAAAGTGACCATCACGAGAACAAGAGAGAAATAGGAGTTGATATTGGGGCTCAGCTTACGGCATAAGTCCCATAGGATATTCCTCAACCCACCTGCCTGAATTCCAGGGTCTCGGCTCGGTTACGCAACTCAGGTTTCTGACTCTTTCGACCTGCATATCTTCTGCTACCCGCTCCCCCACACTCAAGTCCCGCATTCAGGCGTCAACACCAGTGCCTCGATATTCAATTCCTTCCAAATGTCCATCACTCGCAATAGAAAGTAAGTATTAGCTTCGCTGATTACAAATTCCATGTCATAAATGCTTGTTGTCTATCAGAACTCGCCCCCACACCCGGTACGTCGTGGTGAGAGCCAACAAGACTAAGTAGGGTAGGCAAAGCAGCACCCATGAGGGGCTTTTGGGGTATAGAAGGCAACTCCGCACTAACATCAATCCTTTTGCTTTTGTCCACCACCACGCCTTCCCCCTGATTTGTTTTGTATCCGTCTACAACGGCGTCGGATTTCCCGAACCATAGCTTCATCAAATCAGAATACTGTGGCATTCCATGCCTTAAAATGTCTCTTGGTCGTCAAGCTGCTCCGTCTCGGGAATCTCAAAGCCTTCCTCGGTCGAGTACAGGATGGTCTGAATCTGCTTGACCAGGCCGTCCTCTTGCTTCTCGAGCTCGGGGTCCTCCTCCACAGCTTGCTGGACAAGGAGCTCAATGTCGCGGAGCTTGCTGAAGTAGAAATCACGCTCCCTCTCAAGGCCGACGACGGTCTCCTTAAGGGTGGTGTTCTCCTGTTGCAGGGCGAGAGAGGCGGCGCTGGGAGCAGCGGCCTTGGCCCCAACTCGAGGGCCGGTGGTGGGAGTGGTCCCACCCGGACGTCTCGCCGCAGACGCCGTCACGCGGGGAGCCGCACCTCCAGCAGGTCCGGTTGGGGCGCCCTTCCGTCTGGCCACGGCATCGTAGTCACCGCCGGGATAGTATTGGTCCCAGAACTTTTTGGTCCACTGCAGGAACTCAAGATTGTCTTGCATCTTGCACTTCACGAGCGACTCTACGGGGATCGATCGGTCGATGTGATGCCGGGTGAAGGTGTCTAGAGGCAGATAGTTAGAGACGGTAACCTCAAAGGAGCTCGGCAAAGACTCACTTTGCAGGACTTTGAAATTCTGAATGTATGCATATTCGGTGTTGGCATTGAACTTGACTCGGGACATGGGGACATCTTGGAAGATGCTGTCGTAGACCTGGCAGAGGGCGGCGCTGTTTCCGGGCGTCCATTGTCAGTCTCTGGTGTTCCTCGAGCTCAACTGCAGGGGAGGGGCATCGACGACGTACCCAGTACCACATTGCTCGACCTTGGTGATGTTGAGCTGCAGGAGGCTGTTGAGCCACTGCACAAGCTCTTGCCTGTGTGCAAAACATTCGTCAGTCGTTGCTGTTGCTGGGGACGGATCACCAGGACCCCGCGCCGTGTGGACGCGGCGTCGGGAGCACGAACCGCGATTCACCCATCTTGACGATTTGGTTGTGTGGAACTGTAAACAGAGGGGATGTTGTTGTGGTTCGTGGACTCGGGTCGGTGTGCCAAAGACGATGGCTTGGTCGAGTCTGGACGTGTCCGGGGAGCTGGTGGTCGCGGTTGTTCGCTGAAAACGGCAGGCAACAGTCGCTGGCGGGTTGAGTGGAAAGGGAATCACTTTTATGATCACTAAGATAGCTGCCGTTGATCTTTCTGCCTTCGTTGGAAAGCAAATGGAACCCAAAAATCGGGCGTCGGCTAGCCAATCAACCGTGGTGGGGGGTTTATTAGTGATGCAATGGGCCCATTGGCCTGTGCTTGACTGCCAAGTGACATACACGTGACAAATTCTGACAGGCCGCCCCTGCTTCCGATGCCTTGGCTTCTGCACCTTGCAACCCCAACCCTGGCCCCGTTTACCAAACACAACGACGCTGTCACGAACCTCTTCCAGCTTATCCATGCCACAATATCTCATTTGTCAGAAGTCTTTTGTCAGCTCTGTTAGAGCTTTCTCTTGGAAATTGGTCAAGAGCAACCTAACGGCCAGACCACACAAGCCGTGGTGGAAATTGGAGTTTTAAGCCTTGAAGACTGACAAACTTTCTTATTGCAGCACCCTTATGTAGAATTCATCGTAGTGGTGTGCGATACTTGCCACTTCACCCACAGCCTTGCGCCCATACGACCTCCTGATCGACATACTGCATACTGCAGCTATGTGTCCCGTTGGGGGCCACTTGGTTGATGCCTTCTATGGCTGTAGGTGTGTTTGGATCCCTTCTCAAGTCCTGACCATTCAAGTCAAGTTCGTATTCAGCCTCAGTATCGGAACTCCGCGGGCCGTTCCCTTCCTATGCAACAGAGCAGCCTTTCTATTTGTATCAAACCAGTAGTTTCCATTCTGGAGTCGATCATTTCCACAAATCTGTAACATACGCCGGTCTACTAAACGGCCTTGAAGCGGCGCGGTCAAGACATACAGGAGTTGAGTGGGGCCTGCATATAGGACCACCTGTAGTCTTCAACGGCAACCCACGCCAACTGTAGAAACCTATTTTAATAGGTTCTAATCACCACAAGGCTGGGCTTCAACACCACTACACCATCACAGAGGAACCACTCATGCTCAGCATCGCCTTGTTGAACTTTATGCGGCACAGTGCAACCCTTGGTTTAAATTTGGGGTTTGCAATGGGAGGGAGAGGTAGCCTTCTCGGGCGAAGTGACCGGAGGAGAACTTGAAGTAGGTAAGTCTCTCAAGTTAAAAAGTCATGGAGTTCTCTATTGTCCGTGTTGTTTTCCCCAAGGACCACAAGCTTCTCAGTTGTCTCTCGAGCATATCTGAACATCATGGCATCACCAACCTGTGCACAAGACGGTGTGCAGCACAACTTCTTGCAATGGGTGCCCTATTTCCTGTCCTCCAATTATGAGACCAATCTTCAGCATGACTGTTGTCTTCTCGGTGTTGACCTCAGCACCAGCTGTGTTGTCAACTTTTTCTCCAACAACACTGTCAATTCATATGGCAATATAACTCGTGGCCACTTCGAAGCTAACCCAGACATTGCTGGATACGGAGTAAGTTGATTTCTACCCTGAACCACACCCACTCCGCGGGGCTACGTACCAAGTACCAAGTTTCATTCGAATGGTATCTTCTAACCATGGTATTCTAGGTGTGGATATCTCTCGCCTCGGCACTTTTCGTCAACATCGTGGCTATTCTGTTTGTAGTGCGGGAGTGGTCATATCGCCTCCGGGGAAAGAAATCAAAGATGTAGGTCTCAACCGAATGCCTCTTGTAATCCACAGATACTAACAATATCTTCATAGTCTTCCCACAACGAACAAAAGCAACAGCAAGGGTCACCCCTCCAGCATGGCACAGAAAGGAAAGAACACAGCCAAAGGGGTCTACTCCTGGCTCAAGTCCTGGATGAAAGAGCTCTTCAGGGTGACGATCGATGCTCAACTTGTCCTCGCCTTCTCCTATGCCCTCAACTTTGGTCTGGAGTCCAAATGCACCCTTTCAGCCTACCACTACAACTTCGCCGTCGATACACTCATCTTGTCACTGTCTTGCGTCACACTTTCAGTCTATGTACTTGACGACTTTTGGAGGTCCAAATGGATCGGATGCCTGCGAACGGCCGCCTCCATCATCATATATGCATTTCTTTGTCGGTACCTGTACTACCAAATGGAAAGGAACACGTCCCCCGAACTGATGTTCATCCCAACCCCGGGCCGTTCCGACAGCTCGCTTCTCCTTCCCATGGCATGTTTTCTCGATCCTGACCTGGACCCGTTTATCAGCCTGGCCCCTGAGCAGAGAGACGCGATTGGCGGGCCCGGGCCTAAGGTCAACCCAGCCTTTGTCTTTTGCTATATGCTAGCAGTGGGATACGTTGGTGCCCATCTGGAGAAGTTCTTGACGAGAAATAGGCCGAATTATCACCAGAATGTCTTCATGACAACAGCGTTTGTTGTGTTGTGCAGCATCCCGTGCTTCCTGTCATATGCCCACCTCACAATTCTGCGGGACTGGGTTGACATGTCAGGCTGGATGGAGGTTGCCAATGGTGGTGGCAGCCCTGAGCAGGAAATCCGGAGTATTGGACAAATTATGCCCCTCGCGACCATCTTCTGGATTCTTGCTATCTCTTTTGATACTGGGAAGTTGGCCCGCATGGGGGTGGCAAATCAACAGGCACATTGACAGGCTGGGAAGAAGTGATGATATTGCAGTTCGAGGTCTTAGAGAAACATGGAAGGGTGACGAAAGTCATTTCAAAGCAAGCATGGATTGATTGGTTAGTTTTTGAGGTTATAATGTGGAAAGTTGAATATTAGGTTGGTAACGACTAAGTAAAGGTAGCTATGAGTTGGCAAAGAACATAGCTTTGTTTTCATCAAATTTTACTGACCTTTAGGCAATAATTTTGACAACATTGCTTGAATTGACTCAAACACAATGATGATTTATCTTAGGTATGCCAGGTTCTCTATTTTACACCCTCATCCTTCAACCATGATCAAGGCTCGAATTTCGACAGGTCAGAAGAAGATACAGCATACATCAAAAGGAACAAATGGGTCCTTGCAGGAATATCCTGAAATAAGACAAAGGCGGGGCAACATGGCAAAATTCTGCCAGTTAACATTTGTGAGCACTGTTCAGGGGTTTGTTATCGTACTGTCATGTCCGATAACGCGATAAGGTGACAACCCACCTGCTTGTTGCTCTTCTGGTGACGCTGTCTTTGACCACGTGAACTGAATGGTAAAATCAACAGTCACTCCCTACTGCTTCTTCTTCCGACTGCTTCTCGACTTTTACATTCAGAAACCTCCTCTTGAGACCCATCTTCCTCAATGTCTCAAAGCTTGGATAGTTGTCAAGGTATATCACTCGACTTTGCAGAGTCTGTATATTTGTTTACCAACCCCTTTATCGTCTAAGATGGCTACCACGAACCACCACAGCGACCACCAGTCGCATACGTGCGAACGAACCACCGTCAACGGCAATTCAACCACCATAGTCCACGGCGACAGGACAGTTCTCAGACCCTTACGTATCCCGAGGCACGTCCTTCTTCTCTCCCTACAGTCGCCCTCTTGGTTCGACACCGAATACGAGAACCTCTTACATGCTTTGCCGGCAGAGTCGGGCAGAATCTTGAAGGCCGAAGACCCCGAAGATGCCCTGGAGATGTTTTCCCACCGAGAGGTCGCGAACAGCTTCAGTGCTGTATTGATTGCTGACCACGGCATCACCTTCCCTCGCCATTCTCCCATATGGCATCTGCTCCTCAAGAATTACATCCGAAAGGGGGGCAGGGTGATTATTTGCTGCGGATTTCCGTGTGGTGTTATCCCAAGAGACTTTGACACCATGCTCTCTAAGATCAAGGGGTTGGATTGGAAGTTTGCTGGTTGTTCACGGGGTGAATATGGAAGGGCTGAGGCTCCGGGACAGGGGGAAGATGCATTGCCTGATGTAGTTGATTGGAATGCTGTTAAGCTGCGGGCGGAGGGAATGAAACCCGGTGAGAGCTGGTATTCTGATTCAACGGGTGATAGTGCGGCTGCGATGGCTAAGGTTGGAGAGGGGTGGTTGGGATACGTTGGGAATGTAGACGTTGACGGAGATACTGCGAGGATTATTTTGAGAATGTGTGGCTTTGTTGAGTCGGAAGGTGGCCAAGGAGTCTACCTCGAAGAGTAGATGTTGCAGTAACCCATAGGTACCTATATACAAAGCGTATGCCCTGAAAATGAAAATGTGTATACCTAACAATGCTAGCGTGCTGTTCATCAGAGTCAACAAAAGCGTTTTCTGCAAACGAAACCTTGCCGCTGACCAGTAAAGTCCTATCAACTTACACGGGTCTCCAGCGCTTGACCCACGGATAAGCTCTTGTGGTATAAGAAGGCTTTGTGTAGGTCTGGGTTTCTTCCAGTTCGCTTATCTTCTCTATCAGAAAATACACTGTATTACTTGTACCCTATATCTGGACTCGCTATAAACCCATATGCCACACTACTTCGATTTCACTTGACAGGATGTGACGCAAGCTCATAGTGTCCGCACGTTTCAGCCAGTTCAATAGGAGACTCCTTGGCCTTTCCGATCTCGACCGGAACAGCATTGACAGGGCTCATTGGTCCCCGCATCGACATTAACGGTTGATGTTGTCGTTGTTGTTCTAGCGAGTCGTCTTCGCTCTCGGGTGACACAATCGTGCTTGTTCCTTTGGGATACGGCAGTGTGAACCCCGGACCCGAGAGTGGGGGTGCATAGGATATAGAAGAAGGCCTCCATGTCCTAGCAATCGGCGACTGTTGAGGCAGCAGGTCAACCGACTGCTCATGATCCGACAACGATGTCGACGATCCTGGCCCTGATTTCGCCTCAGTCACCTGCTTCTTGCTGCGGAAGAACATGAAGAAGATGGCGACAATGACTGCTCCTATGACGGCCAGACCCCCAATAGCCCCTCCCACAATGGCCCCAACTGGTGTTTCGCTTTTGCTTGATGGCGTGTCTGATGTCGATGAGAATGTAGAGCCTCCGAAACGTAGCAAGTCCTCGTAGCTGGGATCGTTCGATGATTCGGTGGCGAGACTGGAGCCCGAGGGCGGGGTGGGTAAGAGCGTGCCAACATCGGTGTGTTTCCCTGGCATGCAGGCAAAGACCGTGAAGGTTCGATTCGGTGTTGCAGATGTTGACCAGTGGTATTGCCGGCAATAGCCATAACCGTCTTCGCCATTACTGAGGGTCCAATAGTTAGTATCGTACCGACTTGCTACGAGAACTTGAAGGGCTCTTACCAACATAACGTGCCTGGCGTTGGATAGAGGCACGCGGCATGGGTGTAATCCACGCATGCTGTGTGGTGAGAGTCCAAATCTGCGCACCAATCTCCCTTGGGGCAACACGCGCGATAGTTGCCGATGTTGGTGCATGTTTCGTGTGGAAGGCAGTGATAAGCCGCTGAAATAAAGTGCTGTTAGACTCATATATGATAGGAAAGTATTAAGCATCACGTACGAATAGCGGGGTTGTCGAAGTAACCGCAGACGCCAGCATCATCATCCCCGCGACGCAACTCTCGTGATGTGGCCAGGATCGGGGCATCCGTAGGCTTATGCGATATCCGAAGATACTCTAGTCCATCTTGTGTTTTTGTGCCGGTGGGCTCCGGTGAGGCCCAACCCGAATGCCTTTGTGGCGAGGCACCAATCTTCGTGGCAATACTTGCTAGAAGCAAGAAGTTCCTGGTGAGATTGAGAGTCATCACCCCTCTCTCGTTAGCGCCGGATTGAAATGTCTGTCAGTCTTTTATCATGGGTCTCAGGTCCTGAGGTGCTGATACATAAAGGCCAGTATCTAGGTTCCTAGGCAGGGTAAGATTATCAGACTGTGGAGGAGAGAATAGAACCGGGCGAGAAAAGAAGTGAGAATCTTTGAACTGACGAGAAACGAATATTGGCTGTTAGCTGCGCTTTGAGGCATGTGGCTGATATCTGCTGGGACTTTATAACCTCCGTTCCTTGATGCATGCTGGCAGTCGCAAAGAATGAATCCTTCCTGGCTGAAACTGGCTTAGAGCTTGCAAGTCTGTGACCGTTTCAGGGATGGTGTGCTGACCACATAAGTCTACAATTTAGCAAAGTCACTTGGCTTTCTCCTCCAGCTGCACACTTATAAGTCTGGCTCCAGGGCTTTTCTCAGACAGCCTCAATAGATCCATCGTCTCGATATAGTTAGAGCTAGTATAGTAATAGTGTGTCAATGTTGGAACTTTGCTGTTGATTTCAAGAGAAGGCGTGTGTGTGGTAGGTTGTCGCAAAAAAAGGGGTGATGGCGGCGTTGGGCAGGACAGGGAACGGGAAATTGATCGACCTTGCCGATTGAACACCTATTCTGACAGCCGTGACAGCTGGAGATCAGAACCTGAAATTTCCTTACCTGCATATCATTGACGACGGATCTCTTGGTTCCTGCTTGGAAACTTTCATTTCTTGAGCTCAAGAGCGCCTTTTCAAAAGACCCACTCTCTCTTATCAGTTTGTAAACAATGGCCCCTGAACAGAAATGATAATCCATCTGTTCCAGCTGCGAGGCACTGAATACTTCCAGAAAACATATGGTCAAATTTCCAATAGATGAATACTATGAATCTGGGCCGTATATTTATTTTCTGGTCTAGTTTGCTGAGAACAACTGCCGTTCTTTGTTGGGCAATCAAATGATCTTCAGTGCACTGAACTGTCATGCCCACCTACGCCCAGAACGAATCACCAGGGCCTCCCTGTTTTAAGAATATGGACTGGATTGTTTGGAAGAAAGCCTGCGGTGGTCATTCTGGAAAGCTTTGACCAGTGCCAACGGAGATAAATGCCTTGTTCCTCAGGTACCAAAACTCATAATCTAGTTTCTTCTGAATATTCTCCCGACGTGATGCTACCACGAGAACGTTCCTGAAACAGTCGCCACCAACATAGCCCTTGATGATGCTCACATGAATTCTAGCACTGGGCGATCAAAAAGTCACACATTGTTGACAATCGGTGAATACATGAGACTTGGCTGTGTCCCGGCATTGGGTTGGCTCTGGTTCACCCAAGCTGCGCAAATTATCAAATCATGTGGAGATACGAAGAGATGAGATAGCAAACATGGAGGCGGAATCATATGCCCACCATGCGCGAGGCGCCGGAAGTCAATTAGTCGCAGAACGACTTTCTATATAAGTACCTATTTACCCACCTTGCTTACTCACTGGTAAAACAACTCATTCTATCAACGAAGCAATCCAACTGCGGTAGACAGTCTTTACAAGGCGCTTCCAAAGAGCTAGAAAATCGCAAAGAAACAACATGTCCCAGTGTGACGGTCGGTGTAGGTGCAATCGCAGTAAGCGCCGCGGGTTTGGGGGCAACTGTGTGGGAGATGTGGTGTAAGTCATCAACCTCTGCCACCAGCATGAGTCTATGCAAGGCCACTTAAGCATCATGCTAATGTCTACTATTGCTGGCCGATTGCAGCTACCAATTATACGGCAGCTGGGTGAAGAGGGCACTGCGGATTTGTCTGCGGGAGGTGTAATGAGAAGGGCAGACGAGGTCCCTCAGTATAGTGGACCGTACGGCCTGCATGCGCTAGCAGACGCAGCGCTCAATCAGAAATCTCAAGCTCAATCGGCTTCAACTACTGGTTATACTGACCCTAGCATCGCCACGACTTCGCCGACATGGATCACATCAGACTATACAACCTTAGCCGATTCCTCTGAAGGCAACAAAGCCCAAGCTGCTTCTAAAAAGACTTCGACAAGATTCATGTCAGGCTACACGGTCCTAGGGGGCTCCCTCATACGAACGGCTCCCAGCGTCGCACAATTGTCAAAGAGAAGTCGAGGAGCTGAGAAAGTGTCGGAGCCAAAGGTCAGATCGTTGCCCAAGAGAGGACGAGACAGCCGCGCCGGTGCATCTTCGAGACCAACGAAAATCACGCCTTCGAGATGGCTGAAAGATATGACGTCTGGATCAATGGGCAAGATTCCAGATCAACAATTTCAAGCCGCTTTCGAAGCAGAATCTTAATTTGCACCACAGTCAGATATGGCAGCCGGCACGGGCGGCTATAATTACGAGGCAGATTGCATGGCAACACCATTTTGGGGCACCAGCTCCGGTGCCAGCCGGCTATGATTACGAGGCAAATGACTTGGGATTCTGCACTCAGTCACCGGCTCCAATGTCAGAGGGCTATGATTCCGGGGCAAATGACCGGCCAGTCAGCACTGAGGCACCAGCTCCAGTTCCAGTGCAAGTGAATCCGGCCAAGAATTATTACGGATGGGCAGTCAACCCTCAGACACCAGCTCCGATGCCGACCGGCTTTGATTACGAGCAAAATGCATGGACAGTCGCCACTCAGGCATCAGCTCCAGTGCCAGTAACCGCGTCAGAAGCCCTCCGAGTCACAGTCACAGCCACAGCCCCTGTGCCTCAGTGGAGACCTTGTGCGTGTCGCGTTGCCTGGCACGCTGACAAAACTAAAAGAGATTACTGTAAAGCCAGGCGGAACGTTAAAGAGGGAAGGCGTGGTAGCGATAGAACTCTGTTACGAGGGTGCGAAGAGCGTTTTTTCGGCCAGACAGAGAAGGGTTCAGCGTTCTGTCCCACCTGCTGTGACGCATTGAGTACATATCTCGCCCTCGAGCTTTCTCCCTCTAGGGTCATAGGGAACTCACTTTACCGGAGGCAGCTAACTCTCTTGTTTAGGGTTGTGCAAATCATTGGCCAAAGGATGTCATAGGGAATTTCAGTCACGTCAGATAAACGCAGGACGAACCATGTACGCTCAGAATCTGCCGCTTGCTCACACTACTTGTGCAGGCACAGGTATCAGGACTACTTTATCGGCAGCATGATTGAGCGGAGGAGGAGGAGAAGCAAAGGGAGAAGACATGATTGGAATAAAAGGCTTTGAGGAATAGTGGAGCTTGGGACAGGTTGCCTTTTACATTTGTATCTCCGTTGATCGGACGCCAGTAGGTATGTTTGTTTTGGTAGCAGCTAGCTTCAACATCAGATTTGAAATGGGCGTGGGATGTTTGCTCTGCCTCAGTTTTGATGGACTACCTACCTATTGACAGCAGATTGCCCGCGGCTCCACCAGCGGATGTCGTCAAGTTGCTGGCGGTTGAGCAGTGCCTTCTTCCCAGTGAACCTTTTTGCCACAAACACCCTGCTTTAAGGCTCGCCAACCGTCCTTGCCTTGGGGTGCTGTCCCTGAGTAGTTTCTCAGCCCTGGCGCTTTCCAGCTCCGCTGTTGCCTGTTACATCACCACCAGCACACACAGTACCTTACCTAGGTAGGTAGGTGGAGGTCCAACTACGTCCAGGTCGCCGTTCCTTCCGCTACTGGTAAAAGGGGCAACCCGTGAGTCGCATTCTCCAAGGTGCCTGAAATGAGAAACACTCCTATTGCTCTTGCCTCGCCATAACAACAAAGGACCTACCTAGTTAACCTCATCATTTACAATAGAGATTATAATAATACCCCAGCAACTAGAGCTAATGAGTGCTGAATACTTCGAAACGTCTACAGAACGTCCGTGGTTCCACAAAAGAATGCGTGATTATGAAGTAAGACATCTGAAATAAATCTTGGGATTTCAGGAGCTTTGGTCAATGGCATTCAAGTTAAGGTAGCCAACATCATGTTACTCGCCACCCGAACATGATAGCTCCTATGACCGTACACCAATACCTATCAAGGCGCCCTTTTGCCGCCACGTCTGATATGACATTGGAGCCAACCTGTCATTTTCAAGGTTTCACATTCTGTATGACCATACGACGGCCCGTTTCTCACACGATCAAGTCACCTTGAGCCTCCCAGCCGCAAAGGTGACTGTATCACATGAACCTACAAGATAGAGATGAGATATCAACGCCGCTGGCATGATCATACACCAGCCGTAGGCAGGTGTTGGGCGTCAACCAGCTGTAGAACTCGTTCAAGATAAGTACCAACTAGTTTCCCGAATTAGCCGTTATTTTACTCAGTCCGGCCACTAATGAAGCACAGCAAACTACCTCGAAGTTAAAAGGCTACTGTCAAAGATTCAAAATCCGCAAAGTCGCAAAGAGCACGCGGACGCCGTTGTTCTGCTCACTCAGCCACCCCCCCCATCGGCGAGAGGGCGATACTATGCAAGACCTGCGGCGTAAGTATTTGGAAATTGCTACCCCTACAGCAACTCCAAGCACTTTTTGAACCTCTTAACTGACGTTTGTTCCCTGTGTGTGCTGGCGATAATCCGGGATGTCCGGGGCAGCGATGGATTCGCATATTATGTAGACGACGCGACTGGACAGTGGTATTTATGCCCAAACCAGACACGTCAATGGCAATACATGCCATTGGGGAACGATGACTCGGATTCTGCTGAGCGGATGTTAAGTATTATGCGCCCCAGGGACTCGAGACCAAATGGCTCCAGCCGCCGTTGACCATACTGTCTCCGCCAGAGGCTGATCAAGTACTGTCCCGTCGGGAAGTTCAAGAGCGCTGGTGGGCACCTCTTCAGGTGCTGGAGCACGACCGATGCCGAATGCCACACGGCAGGTAGAACGGGCTGAATCGGGGTACTATTCCCCTAATGTTCCGGCCCAGTATCTCGGAAACACCTTTCCCGGAACAACCCCTTCCAAGACTGAGCTCTCTCAGGGAACCTGTGCTTGTTCGATCAATGTTAGGGTTAATCCGGACGGGAAGGACTATTGTGTACGCAACAAGGAGGCAGGAGAGGGAAAGAGGGCAGTAGGGTGCCAGAAGAGCTTGTACATAGAAACAGGGAAGAACCGGGTGTTTTTTATTGCCCTTCTTGCTCTGAATCTGTGAGTACCATTCCCACAAACTCAATTGCTCCAACGGTTTGATAAATTGAGGTACTTTGGCCAATTCTCTCGCTTAGCAGTGTGGGAGAAGTTGGAGCTCTGGGTGGAAATGGGGCTTGTGACCACTGCGCCTAGCCCCCAGTCCCCACAGGTCGGCGCCGGTAGGTCTCGAACCTACGCTGGGTTCAAGATACAGGCCTCACCGACTTTGGGTGGAAAGCCCTGCCGAAGAGAACAAGGGACTGATCAGTCGCGAAGTGAGAAGCACTCAAAAGCTGCCGTTGCAGTAAAGACAAGGTGCTGGATTGGGAGGCTTGGAGGCACAACGGAGAGTTGAGCAGGTTGGGTTCTATGCAGTGGTCGCGTCTGTAGATCAGGCGTCAGCGTGTGTGTTTTGGTAGCAGCTAGCTGCGAATCATGTTGGGGCGGGCATGGAGTATCTGTTTCATATCAAATTTTGTATTTCTGAAGTCGAACTTCTCGGTTCACTGCCTACCTACCTGATACCGGGTACCTAGATAATCATCAAAACAAATATTGGGCATTTCGCACCCTCCTTTCCGTATCAGAAGCGACGCCATGTTCAGGTTTATCAAACACCAATACACCTCCTTTCCAGATATTCCTTCAGCGCGATATGTCCATTCCCTTCGGCCCTGTCTAATGCCCTCTCCAAGTCAAACCCGTCAACCCGCGCTCCAGCATTTAGTAGAAGCTGTACCATGTCTAGCCGACCATATTCTCCCGCCCCTTCGAGAGCTGTCCGCCCATCATACTCGGAAGCAGCGGCGTTCACCTTTGCCCCCTTCTCCAACAAGGCCTCAGCCAGCCCGACATACCCCCTCATCGCAGCGTATTGCAACACTGTGGCACCGCCTTGTGGATGAGGTGGTGCGTTGATATTAGCCCCATGCTCGAGAATCATCTCCACATACTCGGGCTGTGAAGTGTAAAGGGCTAACTGAAGCGGGGTGAGGAAGGGATATAGGATGGATGGCTTGTGTCCTCCGGGAGGACCACATCTCTTGGCCCTCAAATTAACGTCCGCACCATGCTTGAGTAGGGTCTTGATGATAGCTGGGTGCTGTTCCTTTATGGCGAGCTGAAGAGGAGTCATTAAACTTTCTTCGTTCGGTTGGTGTGTTGCGGACAGATCAAACTCAACGTCAGGCTCGCTGTGTTTGTTGACGTTGGCGTGGTGCTCGAATAAGAGCTCGACAATCTCTAGATTCCCATGCTCGATGGCTTGTTGCAAGGGTGTTAGCCGGTCTTTCTGTGCGACGAGATTCGGGTCGACTCCTTTGCTACAAAGAAGTTTGGCCAGCTCCATAGAATCATCGCACTCTTTCTTGGGTGACTCAGGGAATAAAGCAAGTTGGAGGGCAGTCCTGTCAGATTTGGGCCACGGGTCCGCGTCGAAGTTGTTTTCCAGAAGTAACATTGTCGTATCAAAGTCCAGATTCCTCACTGCTAGTTCAATGAGTGAAATGCTGGTCGTGGGAGAGTCACATTCGTCGGTTGCGTCCTTTGCTCCAAGCTCAAGGAGAATCTTCAGCTTTTGCAGCCCGCATCGCTGGGTCAGACACAATCTTAGAGCGGATATGCCTGGAGAAGTTCCCTGGGCGGATATAGTGGAGAGTTGACATCGGCACCGGCTTCAGCTAATGCCTTGAGTATTTCTGGTGGTCCGTGAATCAAAGCCATGTATATTGGAGAGGGGGGCAGTCCATGGTATGCTGGACTTCCGTTCATCCTGGGAATCTTCGTCATCAACACCCGATGCAGCACTCTGTGGTAGTGTGCATGGGAAACACCATTGTCAAAGGTTGGGTAAAGCTTGATGACTTTGTTCAGAATCAAATTCCAGAACTGCCTGTCGACGTTGCAATAACTCGGAAGGAAGTCCAGCAACAGTTCGATGAATTCCAGTCCTAATCCCAAGGAGATGCTGTCAAGAGCGAGTTGGTCGTACGAGGTGGCCCCAGCGAGGAGTAGCGTCTGCGCCATTTGTATGTTACTGGTAATGATAGCGGCAACAAGTGGTAATACTGAATCGATGGAGGCGCTGGGGTGCCTATTGGGACATGCTCGTTTCTTGAGAAGCAAATGTGCGATGTCCACATTGCCCTCCAAAATCACCGCCGTCAGCGCAGTCGCACATCTGCAGGGCAAAAAAAGTCAGTGCGACCAACTTTGGTAGGGATCTGAGAGTACACCGCAGTGGTTGATGTCAAAAAAGCCACTACTGGTGAGACTTATTATGCATGGCAGATCTCCAACCTCTGCCGCCGTTACCAGTGCGTTTGCGTACAGCGACCGACCACAGTGGCATGCAGTATCTCCTGGTATGACGAGGCGTGTTCCCAACCTCCAGATTTTGCTTCTCAGTTGTGGGTGTTGCATCCGAATGGCAGCTGTTAATGGCGTATGGCCTCCTTCGGTGACGGAGTTGATAGTTAACCTGTAATTAATCAAGAAATTTGCCGTATCGTAATTTTTCCCAGAATCGAGTGAGTGATAAGGTTTGGGTTCAAATCTGGAACAAGTCTCTTTACAAAACATGGGTTTTCGGCGAGTTGGTGAAGAGTTTCGACTGTCAGGATAGGGCAAGCTACCTCGAGGAACTTGACGACGCTATCCTTTGGATAATACTCCAGATATTTGAATGTCTCGAGCAGCTCAGGATTCAGCCTTCTGTGGGTCTTGGAGACTTGAAGTGCCCTGGTGAAGAAGTCGAGCTCGGCACTGTGGCTTTTGCGATCATCCACGATGCAATCAAACCAGAAGCAATCCCCACCCTCAGCCAACCTGAAAACAGATAATATAAACTTGCCTGGAAGATTGGCATGCTTCGCTACAATGAGGTGTAAATAGCCCTTTCCTGTATTTCGAATCATTTCTTGTAAGTGACAGGCATTATAGTGCATTGGGCGTGCTCCACACCAGAGGAAGAGCTTTGTTAGGCGTTTAGATCTCGATGCTAGATGAAGAAGGTTGGCTTAGGTAGCGGGTGGCGATTTTCAGAACGGCTGACTCGCAAACGTCGATGTCGGGGTCCGAATCACAGTAAGGAATCCAAGGTATGGGAAAAGACGTCGCCTGCGGTGTCGGATAGTTCCAGAAGTTCGAGATGCATAATGCAAGGGCCGAGGGGCCGGTCTGACATCGGTCAAGAATGCTTGCTTTAAGGACTAGAAGCTCATCGACGACGGCTGTATTATGAAACAGAGATGCCGCTGTTAAAGGTGTGTGGCCCTCGTTGAGCGTGATGATGAGGGGATCGCTTGAACGATCTCCTGCGAGGGAGACGGGACCGCGGCCATCGTGCATTCGACTTGGCGGCTGTATCTTCGCATTCGACCGAATCAAGACCTGGAGAAATGCCATCAGCTTCTGGGTTTCGTGACTTGTATGACAAGTCCAAGACTCGCAATCCATATTCCAAACGCGTCGTGTCTTCCTGCGATTAGCCCGTGATTTGCGTTCATTCCATCCTAAAATGGCCAGTACAAGAAGACTCCTTTTCCAGCCGCTCGATGCTTCGCAAATTGGGTGGCCCAGGTCGATGAGTAGGTGCGCTAATTTGAGGTTTCCGCAGATGCAGGCGTACTCCAGAGCTGAAAGGCTCTCGGATATACCGCTGTACGTACAGCGAATATCACGCATGCTCACAACCAGGGATGTCGGTGAAGTTCGAAAGCCACAAGATCCGAAGGCAGAATTGTCTTCTCTTTGGTAAGCAAAAAGCAACATCAGAGGCTTCTGATACTCCTTCAGAACAATACTTTGATGCGACATACCTCCAATTTGCTTGACTAACTTGAGCTCGAGGCTGTCAATGGGTAGATGCGAACTCCTGATTGTTGCCCAGAGGCTCTGACTGCCGGCCAACTTGCATTCCCGGAGGTGTTTTCGAACGTTCTACATTCAAAGAAGAATGTCAGCAGACAGCGTGGCGGAGTGTTTAGAGCACTGGACACGACTTACCTTGCTTATAAACCTCAGGATGGCTTTCTCTCAAAGGAGTCAAGATTCCTTTTCGCCTCAGAGTACGGTCTTTAACCACCCTCCCATGAAAAATTAGTTGTGGCTTTGCAGCAATCCGGTCATTCTCCTTCCTCGCCATAGAGAGCCGAACACCAATCGCGATGGGGTTATGTAGACAGTTTTTGGTCATGTACTTCCGAAGTCCCCATTTCTTGAATTGATATTCGTATTGTGGCGTTCTGGACAGAGTCTGTGCGATCCTGCCCTTGAATCTTACTGCGGGTAGATTTAAAAAATGCATACGTGGCCTGGAAAGAATGTCGCTCCTCCATTATCCCCATGAGCTGTTTCAAACATAGATCTCGGGAGATGTAGAGTTCCACGAGCTCTTCCTTGAAAGATTCCCATTTTAATTCCTTCTTTGGCTTCTGTGATGCAAGCTCCACTAAATGCCTGAGAAGGATATCGCGGTTATAGATTTTGGATCTCCTTGCGAACAAGAAAGTGGTAATAAGTCAAAAGAGTACAGGGCTGGAGGTGTGTCCTGTTTGCGTTGAACGTGTTGTGCAGTGTGAATGGCCTCAAATCAGGACAGTTCGAGCCGCATAAAATGTGGAAGGATGATGGAAGGTCAGGAGAAATACCACACAGCTTGGCCATCACCTGTTGGCAAACGTGGGAATTGAACTTGGCTTTGGGGAGGAACATGCTTTCCGTATTCTCAGCTTGGGTGCGGGGCGCCTTGGAGCGCGTTTCGATGCCTTGACCACAAGCCCGGCAAAAGATGATATCTGCCTGGATGATCGTTCAAAGGCAGATTGCTTTTGATTGGCCGACAGCCCATTTCAGAAGAGGGTACGTACCGGGTCGATCTTGACCCTGATCATTGGAAACATTGAATCCAGGAGATTGGATGTACGAGATCGTGCCATTTCATTGGACGAGAACCAAAACCAGACTGGAAGGAAGGTCTGAGGCACTGCTTCAGAAGTGATGCTGAAAACCACGATCGGGTCAGTAGGTAGAGAACAGCAACTGCGTCTTGAGCTTGAGAACAGATTTATAAAGGTACCGCCGTGCCTCTTCAAAATGTGCAATGTAAACCTGAAGGTAGCTCCCGTTTTGCTCGTCTTTGCACACCAACACTTCTGCGGCATTGCTTCTCTCCCACTTACTGAAGCTCGAGACGGTGGCTTGTCACCAATCACTCTTCAAGACAAACACCACCCAACACATCAGAACTTGACACAATGAATCGTCGGAACCTAACTTCAGCGACCACATCCACGGATAACTCTGACTTACGGTACCTATTTGACGCATTTCTTGAGTTTCTGTTTCTGTTCACTGTAGCCACTTCCTCATCCAAGTCACCCTGTGTCTTTGTTGTGGCACACCTAAAGATTTCACCTATTTTATGTTCAGTTTGCTCACTGCCTTATTGGTGATGTCCCTAGCAGTTTGAGTCTCGAAGATCTTCACCATGCCATGACCTACACACACGACAATGTCTTTACCCACATCCTACCAGTTTCTCCGACATCCCTCCTTGCACCTTCGCGAAAAAGGTTCTATCGAGCACGGATGCAAGCAATTCTCGACACCATCGAGCCCAGCCTGAACGCCAATAACAGTCGTTGAGCATCACATATCAGGTATTGAGCAGGGGCTATTTGGGATATGTGATACAGGCAAAGTAGTTTGTGACAGTGATGGAAACTTATGGGGTGTGTTGTCTTGGATAGAATAGGGTTAGGGTTATACTTTCAAGTGTCCCAATCCGTAGTGCCCAGACCTGCTACTCCACTGTTTGTTTTGTTCATTTCCGAGCAGCAAGCAAACTTGAGGTTCGTGTTTTCATCAACTCAGAATCTTCAAATAAACTGGGCTCATAATTAGAATTATTTTGGGAGAGTACTTCTGAGGATAATGGATCACCCCTCGTGTCTGCATGTTGGACAAAGACCACCAGCTCCTGACTTTTACCGTCCACCACCATCACCTGTTCTTGACTGCGGGCAACGGCAACCCCTGAAAACCACTGGGAGCAACAACCACCACCACCACCTCCGTATACACCGCTCCCGACGCTTCCACTTCCACCACCACCGCCGAGGCCGCCCCGGCCGCCCCCACTTCCGGTGCGGGTCAATGTAGATCCCGGCATCGGTGCACTCCGGATTGAAGACCCTCTCCGGCCGGTGTCGCGCGGCGAAGACAGAAGCCCGCAAAGCCCCTATTTTCCACCACCACCGCCACCACCACCACCGCCGCTCAGTCACCGGCTCCGGGTGCAGACCAGTCTACCGAATTTATCCCAGTACGGGTTAAAGTCTCCCAGTCTGAGCCCACGCCCAACAACTCCCACACCCGTTAGCGCCGCTGCGACATTCGGGCCGGGTGTGACCCCCGGACCTAACTCTGGTGCAGAGTCAAAACCATTCTGGCAAAACGCCCTTTCAGAAGCCCGTTATTTCGCCGGTGGCTTGATCCCACCGCCAACCGAGTCAACAAAGCACTACACCATTTTGCGACACTCCTCACCACTCATCTTTTATCGTGGCCCCAGCACCTCAGTTGAGATATCCATCTTCAGCGCCCCAGACTATCCCCTCCCACCAGATCGCTCAATATGGCTTCAACAACGCGGCTTCTCCGGCGACAGCGGCATGAAGATCAAAGCCTTCTTCGGCTCCACAGACGACTGGTTCAACGTCACCCCTTCCGTCGCCGTCCAGCCAGACGAAGTCGAGCGTGACACCGAGCGCGGCTGGAAGAGAGACATGGACAAAGCCGCCAGAAAGATGCTCAAAGATAAAGGCCCCAAAAAAGCCCACATCCCCCGCGAAACCCACGTGGTCCGCATTCCTGAAGCCTCGGACGACGGTTACTTTCGTCTTCACCTCTGCGCCGGTGGCCCCCCTGATGGTCAGGCAGACGAAACCAGCTCCTCCTCAAAACGCAAAATCCTCTGCTCCTCCCCCATCTTCCGCGTAGCCAGCACCTCAACCGACTCGTC